TACGACATCGTTACTGGGGCATTTGTGCTTTGTATGCCGCCGTCCCGAGCTGCTCGTTCAATTGATTGCCTCGCGTAGTATACCAAGCGCGAGTGTATCGCTCTTGCCTACCGTATCTCAGGGAAAAAAAACACAAAAAAACGCTACTACGTTTGAAGTTAATTAGACCAGCGCTTCCTCAAAACCTGCCGCTTCAAAATTTATTAATATATATAAGCCTCCCCTCCTCGCATTAATCCCTCTTAGGCGCTGCGAGGTATCTCAAATAAATAAACAAATAAATACAAATATGCGTCTCGAAGAAATGCTTAAAGAGCGGAGCAATTCCATTGAAGGCTGAATCAGTCTCGGCATGCGGCATAGAGATAAACAGTGTTGGCTACAGGAAAAGGGTCCCATTTGCTCATTACAAATTTATTAATATCTCTTAAACCTTTTCGACTAGATAACTGCAAGCTTTGTAACTTTGGCATCTCGCCCAAACCGCCGCGAAGGAGCGTTTGGCGACGAAAAGTTTGTTATTCAAGTTGAAGAAAAATCGCAATATTTCTCAGAGACACCTTGGAAATATTTGTTTGCAGTTCATTTGTGCCAAAGATTTAGCTCTAATTGCTGCTACACACGTAAAAAATTAGGTCGCCCACACATAAGTATGGAACTTTATTTTTTTGCAAATTACTTAGTGAATTAGTATTTTATCTGCAAAGACTTTCAGCTTTCCACTTTGGTGATGAAGGAAGAGCAGTGGAGCTGTAGCTTCTGTTCTCTCCAGTGGCTTTCCAGGCGAGCGATCTGCTCTTCTGCTCGACGCAGTGGAACTCTAGGCGATAGCGCAGCCTCGCGGCAGTTACAAAATCATTCGTGCTTCTGCGCCACGCCGCTCATTCCGTTCCCGCTCTTCTTCCCCCGAAGAAATGTTGCCGCGATATATGAGTGACGGCGGCAAGCGGACAATTGGCAAACACAACACTCTGGACAGCTACGGTCATCTATGAACGACGGCGGCAAACAGGGATTTGTGTCGACATTTCTTTGCGGGGGACACGATCCTGTGGAAACTAGGCCTTAACAGCTCCGCTGTAAAAGGCAAGCCATTCATAGTGGGACAACTTCTCGCAGTTGAAATTCAAAACCACTCATGCATTTTGAAGTGAAATCTACTGAGGCATTAGCTTATAAATTATGTTTAACTTTCTGAATGACACATTTTGAGAAAGTTCAAATTGTAGCTACCCAAATGCCAAAACTGCCCTTTATTTCTGACGTTTCAGTTATTGTTATTGATGACTCTTTCCTGCTCGTACTACAGAGTGAAGGCGCACTCCATTAGGCCCGCCTCGTATTGTGTTCCATGCAGACGGACTAGAACTTTCCGAGCAGCTGTTTGTCCATGTGGAGTCAACCAAACTCTTTACAGCGATTAACACCACTGAAGGCCTAGCACCTCTGATGGGCAGCCTTCTGGATGTTCAATATCAGTATGCTAAAGAGTGCCTCAATACAGCATCCGCCTTCGAAAGGTTGTTTTTCCGACTTAATATGACGGAGCTGAAGTCTCCTGCGGTCATGTTCATTAACTAGCACAGTGATTGTGTATTACAAGTGTTGTTACCAGTTTAGCGGTTTTCCCTCAGACTTTAGCTGTGCTGAGGTTTGTCTAGTGGGTAACTGTTTTTTTCTTGCAAACGACAGGTTTTTTTTTTGTTCTTTTTTTTTTGCCACTTTGCTAAATTCTGGTGGTCTATAATGATGCGCTTCATGCGCACTACAGCGGAGCTGTTAAGGACTTGTTTCGCCAGGATCGTGTCCGACAGCAAATAAAGGTCGACACAACCCTCCGGACAGCTACCGCCATCTGCGAGCGACGTCGGCAACCAGACAACCGGCTTACCGGTGATCTGGTTGCCGCCATCGCTCATAGATGGTGGCAACCTTTCCAGTCTTTCCACTCTGGCTTGCCGACTTGCGGCCAGCCATTACTTCATTCCCACCTTAGTACAGCTTCGCTGGTCTTCCTTTTTCACAAAAGTAAAAAGGTTGAAATATTTTTTTTTAATTTTTCTATCATGATTGGGGTAATTTCTGTGTAAGGCCAAGCCATCGGTTAGAGTCACCTTTGCTTACTCGTACAAAACTAAAAAAAGAACCCATGTTAACACTGATTTCGGGGGCGTTTCCGTACCTGCCGACGTAATCCACATGTTTTACAGAAAGTTCTGCTTTGGAATAGTGCCTCTGGGTCGTCTGGTGGTAAATCCGACTTCCAGTAAGCGAGTCACAAAGTTCTGGGTTATATAGCCCCTTCTTTTCTGACGTGGCCATAGGACCCGAAACTTAGAGGCATGACTGGCGGAAATTACAAGTGCTGTCAGAAGACGCAGCCACCGCTACTGCAGAGCAGAACTGTGTGCAAAACATGAAGAAAATTTCTGGATGGTAGGGCAGCATACCTATAGAGTCGGAAGTAACAGCTCCCAAGCAGCACAGAGTTGGCCAGTCATCGGCCAATGGCTGGCAATGGTCTTCGGCCAAGTGGCCAGACAGTGGACCGAGACTGGCCGGTGATTGGCCTTTATCAGGCCATTGGCCAATGGCCAGTGGCCATCAGCCATTGGCCAAGCATTGGCCAATGAATGGCCACTCTCTGGCCACTGGCCAAAAGACCATCGCCAGACATTGGCCATTGCTTAGCCAAAATCCGTGCTGCTTGGGAGATGACTCGGAATGTTTATTGCTCACACCCTATCGTCATAAAACGGGTGACACTCTTATTGAGCAGATATGGTCTACTGAAAAGGAAAAACGAGTGCAGGCGAGCTGGTGATTGTTAATCATTTTATGTTATAGCCGAGACTGTGGTTAGGAAAAAAGTAGAAAGTGGCACATAGGGAAAGGTCTGTAGAAGAAAAGAAAACCGGAGGGGTTATTGGTGACACGAGCGGCCAAAAGCGTCGTTTCGGTCGGCATTTAAAAGTTTCAAAAGAACTTATTTATTTCGTACAATTTTGTTTTCATTCATACAAATAAGAACAATGTCAGATTGTCAACTTTCATAGAGTTATTGTAGAATGCGATGACTCCAAGCTTCCATTGTGATTTTTAACACACGCCATCGCAATTAGTCTGCAACTGATAATAACTAGCCAAGATTACAACTCCTGACGTCACAGCAAGGCAAATCGTGGTCGTGAAGCCAAGAACGGAAGCCACAGGAAGGCGCCTCCAGAACATTTCGGCGCTAATAATCTGTCGAAAAAAAAAGCTTTCCTATGAGTATTTTGCTTATTTGGAGATTCTACGGACTAACAAATCAATCAATTAAATTCCAATGACATTCTTGCCTCCTCTAAATCTAGCGGTTTGTTATTATTTATTTTGCAAAACTGATCATAAATATGTCTTTTTATTGAGAAACCAAAACTTGGCTGTGATGTTTTTTGTTATGAAATATTCTAGTATGTTTGCAGAGTGTAAGTCCCTCTTTAAGAAGATCATGAAATAATATTTCTACTTCTTCCATAGCTTTAATCCTCTACTTTAAAGCGAAATGAGAAATCACTTCACTTTGTGACGTGCTTGCATGGGCACCGTAGGCAAAGATCCCAAGATTCCTAAGGAATTCTTAATGCACGCCACGGAACTTGTCAATCTCAAGTGATGGTAAGTGCCGTCACGGCACTCATTGGACACGAACACGAATTCAGATATTGGTCGACGGATTCATTGCTGAAGATCGCATACGTCCGAGTCACGCAGAGCTCGTGCCTAATGCGTGAGCTGGGTTCGGCTGACGTGCTCGGGCAGCGCGGATGCACAACAGGGAAAAGGCGGAGAGCTATCGAAGGAAAGAAATGCGAAATAGTGATACGCGATTAGTAAAATCCCAATTTATCGCAGCCGACAATTAATCTCATGGTTCCTTTACCTTTTCTGTGCAGCACAACACATTCATTGTGAAAACTTTACTGGATCAAATAACCTTGGGTGCTGCCCAAACATTTGGGCATCCTTGACTAAAAAAGCAAATACCTCGACGAAACTTTTTTTTTGTTTCAAAGGAAAGGGAAATTATATGTACGATGATTTGAATTTGCTTTTTTTTTTTACTTTTTAGGACCTTACGTTTCCGTGTTGTATAAACATTTCTTTCTTTTAGAATGCAAACAGAAGCAGCCTTGTAGAACAATTCAGCGGCATACCACTTTTTGCATGTTATTTATATCGTTAGAGCGCGCTCTAATAATGAAAAACATTAAGTGTCATGTGTAACTCAAGTGCCCTCCAAGGCAATGTGTACTTCCTTTCTTAAAAAAGTTGGCATAACAAAGAAATGTAGGGTCCCATAAGGAAGGGACGCAACATTGACTCACGATGTGTAACAACACGGATTTAAATGTGTGAATCGTAGGCATGGGATAAAGTGCCGATTACACTTGTGTAGGCGTCTTGAAGTGTACTGTGTAGACAATAGCGCCAGTTGAACCTCTAGCATACATTATTATTACTCTATGGGTCAGCGTCACCAAGCGTATTTTTAGAGACGAATGTGCAAACGCAGAGTCTGAAGCCAGCAACGGCAGATGCCATCTTCCGATTGCGGTCTGCTAAACTGAACGCGGCAACGCCAGCCAGAGTCGGAAGAGCTATTGTGCAGGTCGACGCCATGGTGGAAGAAGGTAGAGGCGTTTGTGCAGTGCTGCCTCGACAAAGTGCGAGTGTGCCTAAGATTCGCTGCCACTTCTGAGAAACGCTGTGAGATGCCGCAGCAGGTCAGGGCCTCAAGAAACATGTTTTTATTGTTGTTGTTATTTTCACCGTGAAAACATTTGGCTTGTCTCTAAACTTCCTAGCTTCTTGACACCCCCTGTCTACGCACAACATCGCTAACAATATAATTGAAAGTTGTCGATTTATTTTTCTATATTGCATTAAGTTTAGGCTATTCTTCCTGACGAATGGTATTACGTTTAGCTATTTCTGTTTTAACATATGAAACCTCTCTAAAAAGCTGTGACCTCGATATCTTCGCTACAGTCTTCTTTCCCGGTGTATCCATAGCGTTTGTTCTCGACGAAGGAGGCTTCCGCTTGGTCTAGAATTCTCCAGTAGGCTTTGAAGTCCAGGTCGGGGCCCATTCCTCCATATTCCTTGGGAAGCATATTTACGGGCATGTCATTGTAGAGACCCTCGAATTTCTCTCCGTGGAAATGAACCTGGAAAAAGAATTGATACACCGTCATGTCTCGTAAACACGGACCGCTTTTATATAGATACGCCGCTACATAGACAATATTTTCGGGGACAACCGGGCAAATACATGCATTTTTGTCTGGCTGTTATGAACAAATCTTCACAATATGGATGCTTCTAGGAGGAAACGAAGATGTTCATATTCTTGAGACTTCACTGTAAACTCATACCAACTCACGGTAAACACAACTCGAATCGCAATCCCACTTAATTAAAGGGGTCATGAAACGCTTTTCCAACTTTTTCCTGTTTAGCTTTCCTCCTCAACTCATAAATCGCGCATTCCACAAAACAGTTCAAGAAGACGAAAAGAGGGGAGGCCCCTCTCGCTCGGAATCTGGTTTATCTACCCGGACAGAGCCATTGTCCCCCTAGAAGATTAGCCCGTCGCTCACAATTCAGACTAAAGTTGCTTTCTCCAACCCGTTCACCCCGGAGCTGACAGTGCTGTGGAAGCTACGTGCTCGTTGGGCCAGCCACACTTTCCACAGGATAACGCTCCTCCGCGCATACCCACCTGCAGAGAATGAGGTCAGGTGATAAAAGGGAGGCGGCTGATTGCTTCGGCAAGCGCATAGCTTCCACCACAATGTCAGCTTAGGGGTGAAGAATTAAGTGAGGTCCGGTTTTGTGTGACGTGCGTTTGGACCCGATGACGCGCTCTTGGGACCGCGGATGTATCACAGTGAAAAGGCAGAGAGCTACGAAGGGGAGGAGGTACGAAATAGTCCGCTGTGTTTTCAAATTTTCGCACTGAAAGTCAGGATTTTTTTCTTTCTACCTTTTTTCTTTTGGCCCACTGAACAATGTACTATTAGTAAAATCCCAATCGAAAATGATTTATCCCAACCCAAAATCCGTTTCATGGGCCCTTTAAATGTGAATAAAAAAATAAAAAAACAACCCCAAGTTTTCCGTCATTGTCAAGACAAAAAATAAATTCAGCAAAAATTTGTTACTTGGGTGGCATCCAGTAACCAATATTGTCATTCCAAAAAGTGATGGTGCCTGTTTTCACCTTGGTTTATAAAGGGAAAGGAGGCGCGCAGATGATCTAATTTAAGTATCTTGGTTCATATACTTACAGGATAAACTTTAAATACCTTTGAAAATATATCAGGTTACAACTTTGCGAACCGCGAGACGAATGTTTCCAAATAAAATTAGTTGACAACATCCTTATTTAAAAAAAAAAAAGCTCTGAAAAGAAAAACGCACTCACTATCTTCTTATTTTTTCTTTCGCAGTGCTAAACTCTACAAACGTGGCACAAAAAAAAAAAAAAAGTGAAAGCCATTTACAACTCCCTGTAACACCGAATTAGAGCGCAGCTCATGAGGAGGAGGAGGGAAGGGTACTGGGGGGGTGAAGTGACCTGGGGGAGTCACGTGACCTTGGGGTTCACGCGACGCCGCCGATGATGTCATCAGTGACGTCACTGATGACGTCATCAGCGACGATGACGATGCGGACTCCAATGACGTCATCCGTGATGATGACGATGACGATGCGGATGCCGGTGAAGTCATCAGTGACGTCACTGGTGACGTCATCAGTGATGATGACGATGACGATGCGGATGCCGGTGACGTCATCAGTGACGATGACGTCATCGGGGAGGTCACGTGACCTCGGCGGGGTGGTCACGTGACCTCGGGGGGGTGACGTGACCGCAGGCCTGGACGTAGTTCAACTACCCTACTCAAACTACTGTAGTTTAACTACTTTTCCGAGTAACTTGGTAACTTTCAATTACAACTTTATTTGGGTAATTTGTAGATTAATTTAACTACGTTTTTCAAATAACTTCTCAAATTACCAACTACTTTCGAAATCTAATGCTAGATTTTCTCCTCACAAAGGTCTGAGTGTAGAAATAAATAAGACGCTGGCGGATGAAGTGGTATTCCCCAACATGGGGCCCCCTCAGATTCCGTTCCCACGCACTTATACTCGGCAGCCGTAGAAACTGCATCACAGACGTCCTTGGGCCAAGGTGGCGACGAGCAGCCAAAACATAACACCGGCGCGCACGAACGCAGGCATAGGTGCCTAACAATCCGGTAACGCACGCAGGCGTCGTGCCTCCAGCTGCAACCGTGAAAGGCGGGGACACTCCGAGGGTTGTTGTTTTCATGTTGTCTGCCTCTAGTGAGTTCTGACTCAAGTGGTAGGTTCCGCGGCAGGCGGCATTGGAATGACCTCGCAGCTGGGCGCCTGTTCCCATGGTCGCCTCGTCGTCAGCACATACTCCCTTGCAAAGCCGGACCCCCCTGCGCACAAACGTAGACACGGATAATCCCTTCATTGGAGCAGGTTCCCGCTTTCAGCTGCAACTGTACAAGTGCCGATGCTTGCTCACGTAATCCTTCGAGTGCTTCTGACCTTCGACGCCAGGGAGACCTCCTCTTTGTTGAAAACGTTTTACTTGTCAGGGCGTGTCAGGCGCGTCAGGATACCGTAGTCGCCGGCGAGGATTGCGAGTCACCCTTGGGAGATCCTTTTGTTGGACCGGGCGTCAGCGGCGAAGTATACTTCGTTTCATTTTCTGTTAAACCCAAGCAATTTTTTTTTGTTTCAGAGGAGTAGCACTAGCACTGCAACGAGACGCGCAGTCGTCCGTGTAATCTAATCGTCGTGGCGCGAGACTTGATCCATTGACGGTCAGGTGCACTCGCTCGGCGTACTCTACGAACGCCGTGAGAATAAAGATGGCGAGTCATAAAAATCTCAACTTTCCGAAGAAAAAAATAAAAAAAGGAGGAGAGTTTGTTATAAAAGACCCGCTAGGCTGAGGCAAGCCTCACATGTTTCTTCATCGGCACCAAAGAAGCCGACATTCGCTTACCCCTCCCTGCACAGCCTGTTTTTGAAATTGAACGCTCTTTGCATCCAGTGCCACGGTAGAACGTCTGTTTAGCTTGACTGAGGACGTCATTAGAAGGAAAAGGAGAAACTCTCCGGTAAGAACTTTGAAAGACAATTGATTGTGCGAGCGAATAAACTATTTCGGAAGTCATAAAATGAATGCATTTATTTTAGGTTCGCAGGGTTTTTCACGGATCAAAACCGATGTTCATTTTACTACCGCAAAAATATAAGAAGTAACTTCGAAAGTAACTTCAAAGTAACTCGCTACTTTTTTACAGTAGTTAGTAGTTTACTCAATTACCATTGCAAATGCGTAATTTCTACTCTGCTCCAATTACTTTTGGTGTCGATACTCAGTAACTTAACTACCTTTTTTGAGTAATTTGTACATGTCTGCGTGACCGTCGAGGTCACGTGACACCCAAAGTCACGTGACCCCCCAGGTCACGTAACCCCCCCCCGGGTCACGTGACCTCGGGGGTCACGTGACCTTGGGATGACCTTGGGGGCCGCGTGACCTTGGGGTGACCTTGGTTACGCCGACGCCGACGGCGACGCCGACGCCGCTCAAGCCGGGAACGGGCCCCTAAGAGCTGCGCTCTAAAACAAAGCGACACGGGTTTCACCGGTCGGCCGCGCACAATGTGAAAGGCTAGCAGATCAACTAGGATGAGCGTGCGGTGGTTTCGGCGGCAGAGTTCTCTTTGATTTCAGACTGTCTTTTACAGTTTTCCGTATGTTGTCGGAAAATGAAGTCCTACACATAGAGCAAGCCGCTCAAAACGCGTCCCTTCGCATATGAAAGCGGGGTACGAGGAGACTTTTCGCGTATTTGTGAGGGGACTCAAAAAGGTAAGAGAGAGCAGGTGTGTTTCGAATATCCGCCCCGACATGAATTTTTACTTGGTTTTCCCTATAATTACTTAACAATTTGTACGTCTTCCATGCGAATATTATATCATGGCATAAACTGTATCCCTTTCTGGTCACAGTTTTATTTCACCGCCCTTGAAAACATAAATATATGAATTTGAAACTCTCGTCTCATTTTAGTTGAGTATCATTTAAGTAAACGCGCCCAAATGTTCAATTTTCGTTTTATTACTTTAAGGTGCTGTGAATTCGCCACTTACCCTGTCTGCTATCTTCTTGTTGATGAAAGGTCGAATCACAGCGTAAGCCATGTTGAAGACGTAAGACTCCCTCACGATGTGAATCGCTTTTATTCGAACAGGTGAGCAGTCCTGTGAAGTTAGAATAGAGGTACTGTAGAGCTTATAGAAAAAGGAAAACATGGGATATTTAGTTTCGCTATCAAAGTACGTATGCACCTGTGCACTTTGTAGTATGCAACTTACTAATTCCCCCTTTCGGCGCCAATAATAAAACAGTAAGGCGCAACGAGAACTGATGAGGCTCTAACCTAATTTACATGACAAACTAAAGTAAATGAATAGAATGCAACCGTCTGTTTACGCACTGTACGTGTCACCTTAAATCTTAAATAGATTGACACTGACTCTATTGTTTTCATCCGCTACATTTAGGATTCGGCGAGAAAAAAATACGATGATACTCGGGACTTTTCAGTGTTTAGTTCAATCGCTCGTTCGGATTATGTGATGTGTCTTGTAGTTCACGATATCTCAAAGTTTGCTCTTAATATTTATGTGCAATGTTGGGGATAAGAAAGATACAAAAATGTGTAGCATGAATTTAGTCTGCGCAAGCCAGAATCGCGCAGGAAGGTCTGTTTAGGTCGAAAACAGAAAGGAAATTCACATCTTAAGTCCTGGGCAGATTCAAAGATATACATAGGAGAAGTCGTTTCGATGCAGCTTTCGATTGGTTACGGCACTGGCGGGCGTTGATCAGGTGCAGGTCAGGATGCTGATATCTGTGCGAAGCTCTACACTCTAAAAAACGTCTGTGGGTCTACTTTCACGTACAACACTTGAAAAACCAATCAGCGGGACTTACGGAGGCAGCTCAGCGAATGACGATGCCAAAACATATGTTTAGACCAAAAAACGCAAACTGAGTTGTGACATTAGGCAATGCAAGCATGACGTTTTGCATTGCTTAATGTCACAACTCAGACTGCGTTTTTTTGGTCTAACCATATGTTTCGGCATTGTCATTCGCTGAGCTGCCTCCTTAAGTTGCAGTGATTGACACTTCTAGTGGTTGTGCGGGAAAGCAGACGCACGGGCTTTTTTTTTTTCTTTTTTAGAGTGAACCACTGAAAACGGTACGATTCGATGAAATCAGTCAATCAGAGCCAAAAGTGTATCGTGATCAAGTCGTCGTTTTTGTGCGTTTTCTATCACCCGTTGCATGTGTCCCGCATAGAAGAAAGCTCAGCACCACGCCGCATTCACTACCGCGTTATTGGTGCAGCCGCTTGATTCGCCACGTCGGATCGTAGCGTTTTGGTTTGGTTGGACTCGTTGTATAACGGAGCATGTCCATAAGTAGAACCAGTGAAATAGAAAAAAGCAAAATTTATAATTTAATTGGTTTGATCTGTGCGTGAAAAGTGAATGCGACAATTAATATGATGTCTACTCCTTATGTTGTACTTCCGCTATGAGCAAGAAAAAAAGAAGTAATTTGGAGTGGTGTGCGCCTTTGGGGTTGAGTAAAGTGTGCGAACCAAAAAAAGCCTGGTGAAGCTCTTGAGCAGCCCAAAGTTGAGGTAAACCATCTTATCCAAGGTAAGTCCGCCATTGTCCTGGATAAAGGAAATTCCGATCGTCTGTGCCACGGGGTCCGCTGTCAGATATTCCATGACCAGGGCAAATGCTTGCATAACTTCACTGTGTGCCGCAGTCTGGGGATCCCAGTCGCCTGGAAGCAAAACGAGTCATTCCGTAAGTATAAGTTTGCCATATCTGAGGTGTCTTCCTTCTAAAGTCACGAGAACTTGGAGAGTACCATTCACTTTAAACAACTGGCATTCTTGTATGTGAATTAAGCATGATTTGAATCGTTGCATCCTTAAGGAAGAAACCGCTGCATGGTTGGCTTCTTCAGTCGAAATCAATCGTGCCGGCAGACAGTTTTATTCTATCTCCTATTTTTCTCATGGGACCAAGACATTACATTGAGGAGTGCGTTTATTTTAAAATAAAAACATTATTAGAAGAATGAAAAAGACACAGTCAGTAGTAAACACCGTTTAAACGGTTAATCATTGCAATTTCAATACTGGTAGTGCCGGTAATTGTTTTAATATCTATAAACACAATTTTGTCATGTTTATATCGAACAAAAGTGGTAATGTACGTTGCTGGGGAAGTTGTTGCTTTTTTTCGGCAAAACTACAGTTGCCTAAATGGGGAAAAGACCTATCCTGGGTTAGTTACTTGTGCTTTTCCAATCGGAACTATTTTAGTTATACAAAAAAAAAAAAAAACTCGGGTGTTCAACGCATAACGGCCAACGCCCTAAACAGAACTTTGTGGATTTTATTGGGAAGATATCACTCAAGTTTTGTACACTGCACCTTATGCTGAATATACTAAAAGAAAACCACAATCTCACAGAGCCGGTCATATATAAATAAAGTTCTCTTGTGATGAACGTAGTTAACGAAAAGGGAGCGACATAGACCGAACCAGCAAACGGCTATGTTTCGTTTTGCTAAAGCTAAAATGTACAGGAGCTAAAACTTGAAACTAAAATGTACAGGATCCTCAGCCAACGCCGGAAACCTTCTCACGGAGTGAGCTCTTCAAACTTCTAAGCAAAGTGGGGCAAAAGCAGCACATCACTATTATCCCTATTTTCCTTCAACCGTTTATGTGAGTTACGCGCAATTACATCGCCCAGTGTGTCTTATCAAATGTCTAGGTTACTACTGGTCTTAAAGGTGTGGAACGCTTTATACCGAACCGTATTGTTTCCCTAAATGTCTTAATAAATGTTCCATAATCATTAGTATTTCTCATCTAAATCTCAAAACTCGACTATATTTTGCTTATTATTGTCGGCTTGTCGTTCTGAATGTTTATAAATACTGTATATGCTCATTACCTTCTATGATGGTGACAAGAACTTTAAGAAATAAATGAATCATTATGATCTTAGACTCTGCGATAAAGCATCCTTAAAAGAACGCTGAAATTTACAAAAAAAGAATTGGAAGAAGCTTAGATGGACACAACTGTTCAAAAACATTTAGAAAAAACAAAAAAAAAACTCTGAGCAATATTCACGCCGTTAGACGCAGATGAAGTGGAGATGTAGAGGCTGCAGCCCAAGTCCCACCCCGTGCTAACACCGTGTTTGATAGACTGGCGAAATGATTGACGTGTGAAATGTTGGTTTTAACATAGTATCTCTGGGTTGTAATAGTATTTTAATAGACAGTGTTTTGTTTGCTGTTTCAGAAACAAATAATCTAGATAGATTCATTCTTGTTTTCAGAAGTATCCCAATATCGCCCTTTCTATGCATTGGTGTGAAACGATAACAAACATGGCTGGCGACTAGCTCAACGAGTGGAGCTCGTAGAGCTCGTTGATTTCTAAAAGTGAGAGTTGGTTTGCGCTCACGAAATTTTTTGAGGAATATCTCCTCATCTGACGTAGTTTGAAACTAACAACTATGGCCTTCGTAAGCGCTCTGCAGATGCACGTTCATTGTTTTTTTTTTTTTTTTTTTTTTTATTGAGACTGGATTAAGCTTTGCGTCCCACATTAGCTATAATTAGGGTTTTGCGTATTCGGTTTCTATTTTTTTCAAAATTCGGCGTTCCTTTTTTTGGTGTTTATTTTAAAATTAATTTTCAGTGTTTTCCCGCGCATATTTATGCCCACAAACTTTTATCGCCTTTTTTCGGTGAATATAAAACAAACACCCCCTGACACCTGATCAGATGATCCTTGTAGCTCTAATACTTGTGATCACTCAAAGAATAACGGATCAGGTACATTGAAAAAAAATTGACACTTTATTTGGAAAATGTGTGCAACTGTAAAAGAAGCAAAAAAAAAAAAAATAAGCACAGAAGTACGAAAAAGGCAGACATGAAGCCTATGCCCAAAAAACATGGAATTTCACTTTCTGTACATCAGGATTACGTGATCTTATAGTACACACACAGCTATGCTTTCCCAGGATCTTCTTGTTGATCCGCACTCTTTCTTTCGTGTTAACATGACCCCGAGCTTTGGGAATGCCCTTTCAACGCAAAGACTGGACACTGGCACACTCGCAGGCTGAGGAGATGAAGCGCTGCCTGAGACAAAATCGGCAATCATCCAATCGCAACCACAAAGAGAGACACGGTGCGACGTTTTGAAGCACAACACAATATGCAGGGCTTGCATAAGGTCAGTCTTCCTTACAACGAGCTTGAAAACACGCTCGCACACGGCGAAGTCATGGTGCTTTTGGGACTTCACGTTCCGATCGATGATGCGCACATTAAACCAAAACGTCGTGATGGCATCCGTGTATCCCATACATTCGGACACCTTTCGATAGACACTGTCGATCCACTTTTTCGCCACGGCTCCGCAGTACGACTGGAAAGTTAAACTGACCTTTTCCGCGGTTAAAACTGAACTTTCGAAAATGCGTTCGACGTACCTTTATTGGTTTTTATCGGTTTAAATTGAAAATGCCGAATCTAAAAGCTGACCTTTTTGGGTTAAAACCAGATTTTTGAAAATGAATTCGGCGTACTTTTATCGGTTTTTATCGGTTTAAACCGAAAACTTCGAACCCTAGCTATAATGTGTCTGAAATGCCTAGGCTCGATCAAAAATGGGGCATAAAAATCGGCGCATGCACGTCGCAATCTACACTGTTCGTCAAAGTTCTATTTCACAAATGAGTGTTTCACAGGTAGGGGCATTGTAAAATTACAAGGCGTAGCTCCCTTTTTGTAAAGCGTAGGGCCAAAAAACTTGTCAGGATGAACGGCGGATGGCGACGCAGACGACTGACTCGAGCCGCGGGGAGCGTTGGACGCACGTGCTGAGGAACTTTAGTTCCGGTTTGCTTTTAAACAATTATCGAGACTGCCCGCGAAGGCCATGGTCTTTTAAAATGAACATAGTATTTTTGTAATGCACCATTGGTTTAAAAATGACTGCGGACAATGACAACGAAATTTGAAGAAGCAAAAATAAATAAAACGCGCTTGCGTAACGACGCCGCCCTTGCTGCCGGCGGATTTCGTCTGCATGTTGTATGCTTTCTTTCGCTGATCGGGCGTTGCAACGCTTCCCCCGACGCCATCTGCCAATGTGTGTGCCATACGCACCCCGCTACTCAACTCGGTCATCTGCGTCGCCGTCCGCCGTTGGCCCTGGCAAGTTTTTTGGCCCTATTTTTAACAGAAAGGAAGCCGCCTTGAAAACTTACTACACGGTAAAACCCACCTGTACAATGCATGTACCTCTGACGAAAGGTTTAGGATGCTACTAGCCGGCGCCGATTTCTACGGCCCATTTAAGATCGAGCCTCTGCATTTAGACTCCCTATATGCTGCTGGATCTATCTTGATTTGTTCATTTGCGCGTTTTGATGTTGTATGAAGATGTTGGTTCCCGTAGAAGCGGCCATGCGTCTCTGTACGTCGTGCAACCATCGTGATTGTATCCATGGTTTCAATGCCGAGAAGATAGCTACACATGAAAGCATTTGCGAGCCATTTGGCTCGAGGCAATCGGGCGTTTGGCTTGCATCAATCTTGTCCAGGTATGTTCCCGTCATTTAACTTCGACAAGCAAGTATAGCTTCCAAGCTTTACAGTGTGCCTGGCCTGGCAAAACGAATATATTAAACTCCCGTGTTAAATGTGCGTCATTACGTTCACTAACTTGCTCACGGGAGCCACACGAAAAAACAATATGACAAAAGAAAATAATAATAGCTGCAAAAACTGAATATATATCTTTTTTTTATATCTTTCGGTCGCTTTTTAGCGCACATCGACAGAAGCTGTCAGGCGCTTGTATTGAACCGTCACTCGCGCATGACGGAACTCTAGAACGCTGCTTTTAAGGTCGAGGTTGCGAGCTTGGTGTAAGTTTTTAAACGGAAGCGGAAGAGAAGACGGACGAAGGCGAAGACGGACGCTGACGCGCAGCTTTCATGTCCGCGTCTTAGATGCATTGCAAACGACGATAGACGGTGGTGAAATAGCAGATGATGGCGGAGGATGCCGCGCATCTCCTCGCACGACTAGCAGGCGGTGTCAGAGGCCAGACCAGCGTTAGACGGAGTGCAAGTTCGTCTGTCCCTTGCACAAGGGTTGCGATGATGTCAGAACGCCGAGCACTTATTGGCTGATTGAACAAAATACTGGGTAGACCTCAAGGCATCTATCCTTGAGGTCTACCCACTATCCATCCAATCGAAGCCAATCCGAGCTCGGTGTCGTTGTGATGAGTCAGCAACTCCCTCGCAAGCAGCGGACGACTTGCTTTGCGCATTACATTGGACTCAGTTACGGAACTACTCATAGGCGCTGCTTGCATGAACACTACCCCTCTCTCCACGGCTCGTTTCCCGTCGTTTGACGCGCCGGCGGCTACACTCTAAGAAAAAATTGAGGAAAAAAGTAGCAGCGGCGCGTCTTCCTCCCTTCTACTGGCGCGCCCCCAAGCGGACACCAGAAAAGAGGAGTAACGAAACGTTTTTCTCCTTCTCCAGGCAAACGGGAGCAAGCTTTCGCCCTCCCGACTCATCTTCTTTCGGTTTCGTTTTTCGAGCAGGTCGCGCACGTTGTTTAAAAAATAGCTGTTGAGTTGATTGAGCTTCAGCGGCAGCGAAGGCCGCCTGTAATTCCGTCTTCTAGTCTAAACGTGCAGAACATTTCGGTTGCATTGACG